GGCTGTACACTTTGAAAACCATTGAGTTTTCCTGGGAAAGGAGAAAGAGAATGTTGAGAATGGTTCCAGGATGAACTCAAAGGATTATTTCTTTTAATTTTAAGAAGTTAAGTGTCTAAATTGAGATCTTTCAAGCCCTGCTGTATCTTTTAAGAATACTTTAGGGTTTCAGAAGAAACAGGAGGTTGAGAGAGCTAGGGAAGAAATTATAGAAATTCAGGCATTTTTCTTGTGTGTGTGTGTGTGTGTGTTTTTTTTTTAAGGTATCTCATTCCTAACAAATGCATCAATAGCCTTCAGGCAGGTCTAAATCAAGGTTCCATCCTACGGGCTTGGTTGCTTCAACATACCTGTTCCTAAGGGATTAGGAACCTTCTATCCCAGTGGCTCTCAATGTGTAGTTACTAGACCGGCAGCAGCAACAGGCCCTGGGAACTTGTTAAAAATGCAAATCCTCCCGTCCCACCCCAGACATGCTCCGTCAGAAACTCTGGAGCTATGGTCAGCAATTTGTAATAAACAAGCCCTTCCAGGGGATTCCAATCACACTCCAGTTTAAGAACCAGTAAACTAGCCCAAAGCTATTTTACCTTTTTTAGAGACCTGTTCTAGAACGGAGGGGGGAACCTAAGGGGGTCACAGAGTTGGTCACCATTCTGTGGTCAACACCCACAATTTGCTGTTACAGAACCCAACTAGGCAATCTTCATAAAGTACTTTTATGAGAAAAGTATTTTTGCTTCTTTTACAAGGATCATTTTATAAAGTGTGGGCCCACCTTCTATTGCCTGTTTCAGAGAATGACACAATCAATTAGGATGCATTTCTACTTGGTGCATTAATCCAAATTCTCACTACTGGTGTAGCAGTCCGGCTGTGGTCCCAATGCTGAACTTTTAAAGAAGGTATAGGAATATGTTAGATGAATTTATAATCAACCTTTATAAATTCCTTTAAAAGGAATTCTTAATGCACAATCTCTCCATTTACTGAACACCATTTCTTGCCAAGTTATGCATTGTGAGGAATGGCAATCAAAGATATAGATATGAGGAAAAATAAAACCCACCTCCTTTATTGAAGACAGAATGGCTGCAGAAAATCAGCAAGGAGTGAATCTTAGTAACTACCTGGCCCAATGGTTCGAGGATCGGCTACCACCCGGAAACTAGTTCTCAGACCTTGCCCCACTCCTACCGAGTCAGAAACTTAGTGGGAGGTCTGGCCAGCAATCAATTTTAGGTCCTTTGGGTGATCCTGATGCATGCTGGGATTTGAGAACCTGCAATTTAGCCCGATTATTTTACCTTTCTTCGGTCACAAAAACTCTGAGAATCTGATGAGAACAGTCTTGCATTTGTTTAACTTTGGGTGATGTGAACTGTGAAGTCCCAGTTTACGGACTGATCTTGTCCAGGCCCTTATTTTACAATTAAGCATAGTAAATACTGAGTTAAGTGACAGGCTAATTAGTGAAAGGGCTGACTAATGGTGCCTCCAAGCTCAGGCCAAACAAGTACATCTCTCCACTCATCCGCTTGCACAGCAGATAAAGCAAAACGTGGAAGTCGTACAAACAAGTGAAGCCACAGTAACTATTTTTTGTTGTTGTTACTCCTCACCTGAAAATGTATTTTTTCTTTTTTTAGTTAATCCTCACTTGATACTTTTCCATTGTTTTTTAGAGTGGAAGGGAGGGGGAGAGTCAGAGGAGGAGAAACATCAGTGTGAGAGACACATCAATTGTTTGGGAACCCAGTCTGCAACTGAGGCATGTGCCCTTGACTGGAATTGAACCTGGGACCCTTCAGTCCACAGCCCAATGATCTATCCACTGAGCCAAAACAGTTAGGGCTCCCTGTAAGTTATGATTTAATAAAACAAAACAAAACAAAAACTGTGTTGTCCATACAAAAGAGAAGGCTGGGAATGATTTTCTTTTTTTGTAATGAATGCTATATGAGGAAACGCTTGTGTTCCAAAACCATCTCTGAAAAAGAAAGGTGCCTAGGAATCATTCTCTCTGCCAAAAGAGAACAGTGCAACATTTTGGCTAATTAAAAAATAACATTCTTATGTTTCATATGTGCTTGCTGAGAGAGCTGGTTATTACTGTTGGCAGATTGACAGTATCTACTTAATCACTTACCAGAAAGGAACGAAACACAAAGAACAACAAAAGGAGGTGAAACAAAGTTGAGTAAAAGGCATGAACACATTGCTGCTGCATCCATCCTAAGCACAGGCAAATGAGGTGACGCGGTCAGAACTCAGGCTAATGCTTTACTGACAGGGGGCTTCCGAGACTGCTCGTGCTCATGGCCACTTGTTGCTGGTTAGACAAGTGTGCTATTTCTATTCAATACATAAGCACAGACTAGGCATTTTTCTCTGCTTCATATCAATAGTTAACACACACACACACACACACACACACACACACACACAGCAAGGTGCAGAGATTTAAATATGCAAAGTTAGCTCTAAAAAGGTGTTTTGCCGGAAGAAACATTTTACTCGCACCTATTCCCCAAGTAGAGGGCCATGGCAGTGTAGGGGCATCTCTCAGGATGGACCTTAAAATCTACCATTTTCCAAGGTACAGAAAGCAGAGAGAAATAATTTCCATTAACTCGAAGCTGAGGTCAGAGATGCTGACTCATCAGAGCCAGGAACACTCTGGCTCACCCTAGATGATTCCATCGCCATGCAGGGCCCGACCTGTTTCCAGACTGCTGGTTTTCTCGGCTTGAAAATGAAATATTTTAATCCTCCTTGTCCCTACAATTTTACAAATGGGACCTGCTGAATTCCAGAAGTTTCACTTTCATATTTATAGAGGTTAGCAGATAAATTTTTGATTTCTTGTCAAAATAATATTGCCTTGGACTATGCCCCAAATAGGTATAAAATGCATTCAAATGTATACATGCGAATTCAGTAAATAAAATTTTGTGTTTAAAATAGTCAAATCCGCCGAAACCGGTTTGGCTCAGTGGATAGAGCATCGGCCTGTGGACTGAAAGGTCCCAGGTTCGATTCCGGTCAAGGGCATGTACCTGGGTTGCGGGCACATAGGCAGTAATGAAGTAAAAAGTAAAAAAAAACATTTAAAAGAAATAACAATTCCTGACCTTTACTTGTGGTAAATAAATAATAAACATAAAGCACATATGTACAGACGCCAAAATGACGGAACTTTTTTTTTAATAAATAAATGGGAGATGGCAATGTAACCACGAAACAATGTACGTCAGTCCGATGTAACCCGAGGACTGCCTGTAATAAAGATTATGCCTCATCCATGCCAAAAACAAAATGTATTTTTAAAACATGCTTTTGAAGAATAGTTATTGATATAGTAAAATGTTAAAAAAATTATTTAATAAAGATCAGGATATAAAACATATAGAATGGACTTAATTTTTAAAGAATTAAGCAAATTATATTTATAAAAATTTATCAAGATATTTCTGACATCTCCTTAGACTGCTTTAACACTAGGTGAAGATTTTAAAACTCTCCAGGAACTATTTCAGTATGTACTACTCTGGTAGCCAGCCTCTGAAATGGCTAATATGATGATTGATTATCCCACCTCCTGGTATTCACACCTCCTGGAGTCCCTATCTACGCTGTACCAGGGTTGATCAATGAGGAATAGAATATGGCAGAGATGTTATATCACTTCCAATATTAGGTTACAGATGGCTTCCTTTCCTCAGACCTTTCATTCTGGGGGAAGCCGCCTGTTAAGACATGAAGACACCCAGGCAGCCTAAGTAGAGGACCCTGTGTTGAGAGACTGAACCCTCTGGCTAAAAGTTAGCAAGAATTTAAGGCCCATGAGTTACCATGTCAGCCTGGAGGCAGCTCCTAGAGCCTCCAGATGACAGCAGCTCCAGCCAACAGATAGACTGCAACTAAGGGAAAGGCCCAAGGCTACAAATTCCCTAGCTAAGCCCCGCCTGGGTTCCTGGCCCACAGAAACTTATGACATAGTAAGTCTGTTGTTAAGCTGCTAAATTGGGGGATAATTTGTTACACAGCAATAGATAGCTAATGTAACTCCTTTGATAACTGAAAGTTTCTTTTAAAAAAAAGAAAACAGAGTCTTTCAGAGAAAGAAAGCGCTTTGGGTTTGAGGATTCACTAAGTCCTTGCTATTTGAGTAATCGTCCCTCTCTTGGCTGCTTACTTAAGATCACTATCTCAAGTTCCGTTTGGAAAAAATACTCTGTGCTAGAAAATGTTAAATATTTAGTATTCTGTAATTGCTACGTTTATAGATTAGAAATAGATTTTCCAGATGTTTATTCATTAGCAGTGCTGGTTTTAAAAACTTTTGCTTAAACTGTTAGAAACATATTGTTATAAAAAATAATTTGACAATAGACCATAGAAAAAAAAGCAGCTATGGATGCTAAAGATGGGAAATTGAGTTCAGTCTTAGTCACCAACTCGATGACCTTGGTCACCTTAGAAATTATGGGGCAAAGTCAGATATCCTCCAGTGCAGTAGCCTCCTTACCTTTTACTCATCACCCCCTAAAATAAAGGAAAACCCTTGCACATGTCGGCACATAAAATTAAATATAAAACATAAAAGTTGGCATACAATTGTTATAAATTGAATGTAATTTTTAACATCTTATCTTTAAATATATTTTTGTCAAAATATTAGCTGAAATGTCATCTGTGTAGGAAGTCATGTTAGGTAAAGAAATAAGAGTTCTGAGAATATAGGCCCAGATTTTTATAAAGCCATTTATTTAAAAAAACTGGTTTGTCAAATCACATACACAAGCAGATACACAACTACCAAAGTGGCCCTGTAATAGACACCAGTGGGGCGTTCACCACACAGTACCTGAAAAATACAGCTAAAAAAGAGGAGTCTGTTGAGTAATTCAGATTCCTACTGGACTCCCGGTTGAATGGCTTTAAGTTAGCATATAGTGAGTGAGAGGTAGAGTCCCAAGTATAATAGCTGATGCCTCAATGACCTAGGCATTGTGCTTCTCCGGCCATCTAATTGTCCTCACCTTCCGATTCAGATTCTAGGGGAGAAGAAAGGAAAGTCATGATTGTTGTTGTTTTCTTTCTGTTAAATAAGGCCAGGAGAGTCTCAGCTGCACTTCTCTCCCCTGGCCCCCTCCCTGCTCCCAAGACACTGTTGTCCCAGGCATCCATTTTCTAAGTAACATAGTTAGATGAGGGCAGGTAGCAAACTTTTGTTCCCTTTGCTTTGAAATGAACTTGGCCTTTCTAAAAATGCAATATCCTTATACTAGTAAATACTTTTAGCGAATATAACTACTTTTATTTTTTAAATCAGCTAAAATAAACTTTTCATTCTTACTTGCATTTAATCTCATACATTATTCTTACAATTTGTGTTCCCATTTCAAATATCAGGCAACTGGTGAAGGTCCTTATAAAAATCTATATAATCCCATAATGTGATTAAAATAAATGTATTGTTGTCCCTTTCAGATCTAATTATTTCTTCCTCTTTGTTCTCCATTAGAGTGGATAATTTAAGAGGGCCATTTCTTTTTTTGCCATGTAGAGATTTTCATTGCCTTGATTCAGAAACAAAGGCTAAGATGTAGGCTGAGTGTTTGATATGGAAGACACTTCCAAGAACTTTAGTTTTAGGAAAGCAAGAAAAATCTGTGGAAGACCATCTGTCTTGAATTATAATGAGAAAGGATTTGCTAAATGGCCACCAAAGTTGTTAAATGGGATCATACCTTCTTCTGCATTTTGCAACCACTCAACAAATTTCTTCATCTGGTCAAGAAAAACACTTTTGCCTTTGGCCACGTGTGCTTCTTTGTACCATTTCAATATCGCTTCTTCACTCAGCACATCAGCTGCAATTTCAAATCAAAGATTTCAGTTACTACACAAATGTCATGTTTTAAAGCAACTTCCTGTCATCTACTTTAATAGAAAGCAATCACTTTAACATTGAACGCTCTGTTATAAAAGAAATCCATACCTGAAACTTACTAGAAGACAGGAACCAAGCTCATTTCCATATAGAACAGTGGCATATTTTGGCATTTTAGCTTAGTAAGTAGTGATGATGATGATACCTCTCATCAGTCATGATATAATGCAGGCCTAAATGCAAGTCACATTGGGACTTAGAAACCTCTTAAAGTCCAAATTTGCTGGTAGGAAACAGTGTAGATATTTTGTGATTTTGCAAATGACTCAGCAATGTCAGCATTTCAGAACACTCTGTATCCTGCCAACTTCAAACAGATCTTGATTAAGCAGCAACCTCAATGACTGGACTTTTTAGGGGGATTTACTATTTTAGGAGAAAAGAAGGGCAAATAAAAAAATGTAGACAGGATGCAATAATGATAGTAATAATTAGATATAAAGATGAGCTTCCTAGGTGTATCATGGGACCAATCCACACATAACCCAAAGTTCTACACTCACCCTATCGCTAAATTACTAACTGATTTTCCTACAGTATCATATTCTAAACTGCAATAGTAATGTTTTCCTTGTACTCTATTAAGAGAAAAACAGATATATTAGACCAATTTTCTACAGGTTTCTAACAAAAAGTATTATCTATTACCTATCAATTACCTAAAACTATAAATTACACGAATATGCCTTGATACCATAAAGTTATGGTTAATTTAGAAAAATGTAATGTTAAGAATGGGAAGGGGAATATCAAAGTAATAAAATACATACATTACCAATGATCTAATGGGTTGGTTTTGGGGATTTGAGTGGGAAATGAGATGCAAAGCCAATAAAAAGGATTTATTATTGTCCCCAATACCTATCCAATCCATTACAATGCTGATAAATCACTCTAATAATGTATTTGCAGTCAAAATATAATTTAACTTACGAAAACAAGATAAATGATTTGATAATTTTTATTTAAAATATCACTGATCTTTTTATAACAAAACCGTATTTTTTCCAAATAAGTGGCTCTTGTATTCAACTGAGGAAATCAAATTGGCTAAAAATGCACGCAATTGGTCTTAGACAATATAAGGTTGTTATTTATTTTAATAATTAAATATACTACATTTTGTGAAGGAAAGGGGAAGTCTGGATATAAAAACTGGATATAAAAGATTGAGTCAGGACTCCTATGGAATTACTCTTAGCTTCTAGTCTTTTGGCTTCTTCTGTTCCCAGCTCCACATCCTCCACTCACAACGATGAGAAAACTTCCCCACCCACTTTCCATCAAAACCTAGTTTTTCTAGAGGCGAGGAGCCCGAGGAAGTGACTTGTGCAAGAATGCTTTACCGAGACTTTTCAACTACTTAGCTTAAACACGGAGTTAAAGTCTCTCTTATATAATCTATCTCTCTGACATCTTTAAGAAGCTTGATTTAGAACAGCCATCTCCCAATTGTTTGGATCATGCTCCCCGATGAGACAGTTTTGAGCATGTACACCCAACATATGTATATTTTTCAGTTTGTAAATTGTATGTATGTCCTATAGAACTATTATTATTAATGTCATAAAACAAAAAATAGAATTAAAAGTGTGGCAAACATGTAAAGGGACATTCTATTTTTCTCCTCACCTTAATGAATTACATCTGATACAATGTACATGTTGGAAAGCTGGTTAAGACTGCATTTAGTAATAGTATTTGGGTATTTCCTTCTGAAATTCAGAGCTCATTCCTGTGTTTTACTGCCCCCCAGAGGCTGAAAGAGGCCATGCAACTACTAAAACGCTTGCCAAGGACAATTGTGAAAGGGACACTAAGTAAAACTTACCAGATGTATTGTCCATTAAAAACCAGACTTTGTAAATTTGAATTTGTAGAAGAACCTAAGTTAGTAATAAATACTTGCTGCTAGACTAAATTTCTAGTGTCTGGTAATAAATAATAAACATGGGCCAGAAGCAATCACACAGGGCAACTTATGAGGCAAAACATGAACATCATTTAAGAAGAAATTCAACTTTTGTTTAGTGAAAAGTCTAATCTAAAAAGGAAGGAAACTCCTTGAGAATGAAAAAAAAGGCATGTTTTTTTTCCCCTCTAAGGAAGAGTGGAGAACAGTCAATTTTAATTGGGAGACTAGAGGATTATGCTAAGCAAAATAAGCCAGTCAGAGAAAGACAAGTATCAGATTATCTCACTCATATGTGGAATCTGACGAACAAAATAGATCAAGAAACACAGAAGCATGGAGCAGACTGATGAATCTCAGAGGGAAGGCAGGGGTAGTGGGAAGAGATCAACCAAAGAACTATACATACTAGAGGCCCAGTGCATGAAATTCATGCACAGGATGGGGGGGGTCCCTCAAGATGTCCAGTCTAAATAGCATATTACCCTTTTATTAGTATAGATATGTGTAACCCATGGACACAGACAATAGGTGGTGGAGGCCTGGGGTGGGGGGCAGGCTAGAAGGGGTCAATGGGGAAAAAAGGGGACACATGTAATACTTTCAACAATAAAGATTTAAAAAATAAAATTGGGAGACTATAAAGTCTTTGTTAGGATTTCCCAGAAATGCCTACTAAGAATATATGTCAACAGAAGTCTAAGACATCCAACTGCAGAGTTCCAAGCTTAAAATACATTTCTCTCCTAGCTGGCCAGCTTCTTCATCCCAGCCCTTTCATTTCCCTCCAAATTAGCTTCATCTGTGAGCTGGGTTCCCTTTCAAGGGCACCCCACCACTCCTCAGCCATCTGTGGGAGCCTTATTTCAGCAACTGACATGCTGACTCTAGTTCCTGGCTTTCTCCTACACTGAAATTCAGGAAGTCAGGGACTATTTAATTTCTAGCATTTGACAAAACAACTGTCGAACTGTCAGTTAGGAATACATTCAACCCATGTGTAATGGACAAATTCATTCACTTGAGAAAAACTAAGTAATTCTCAATCTACAGATATAATTTAAATCTCAGGTTTTCATTAGGATCAAAGAGACAACATTGTAAAGGTAGTTTGAGAATTGCAAAGCCTTAGGCAACATTAGTTATTTAGATATTAAAGTTGAATACTATGTCATTTGGAACTCAGGAAATTCAGGAATTTTATTAGAGATGCTATACTGAAACAAAGTAAAAAAATAATGTATCTTAAGAATGCTGGGAATATATGGTGAGAAGGCCATTCACCTTTCTTTAGAACAAGAATAAGAAACATTTTAGGAAAATTTGCATGAAAGACAGAGTTTAACCTAAGAAATTTCTGCACTTGATAAAACCCACAATAAAAATAACAGTCCTTGAGAAGTTGGTATTCTACTTTCAGACCTCCATGCTGAGACTAGGGTACTTAGCTTCAAGAAGGAAGAGACATTATTATTTAAAGTGAATAATGTGATGTTTGAAAATTAATAATAAATTTACTATTTTTCCTTAGTATCTCAGAAATATAAAAATCAGGTTTTAATACAGAAAGTGAATTTTCACTAAATGAGCAATTACCATTTTTTTCTTTCATTGCTGAAAAGCATTACTGTAGTTTATTCACTTTTATTACACTGTTATTTATATAAAATATTTTAAAATCTTTCAATAATGACATTCATTAAAATAACTAGGTTTGTCAAAGGGGACATGAGTAACCACATCCTCAACTACCTGTTGTCCTCTTGCTCTGGATTTATGGGGAAAGTATGTGTGAGAGAGAGGAGAGAGAGAGTAATGAGAGAGACTAAAATAGAAAAGGAGGAGTTTCATAATTTTAAAACTTGCATTAAAGCAAAGATGTTCCTTATCTTACCTAATAATAGACAAACATGTAAATTGACCATACCTTCACCACACTAACCAGCCAATCAGGAGAGTATGCAAATTAACACAACAAAGATGGTGGTTAATTTGCATACGTAGGCTCTAAGCGGCGCGCGAAGCCTGACGGCCCCGGGGCTGGCTCCGGCCGGAGCCCAGCCAGAGCGAAGGCCTGGGTCCCGGGTGCCAGAGGCAAAGTGCCAGCAGCCAAGGGAAGGTAAGGCCCATTGCACGAATCTCTTTGTGCAACAGGCCTCTAGTAATAAATAAAAGGAATCCATATCACTAGAGCAAACAGATGCAGTTTGGTATTTGTAAAATGTATATGTGTGCATGGAATTAGTGGTAAGTATGATCTTAAATGTGCTACCATAGTTAATGGAATTTATTCCTCGGGCATCAAACACCTTTTAGGTGGTGGTCCCAGACCAATGTCACAGTACCACTAGGAAATCTATTAAGAAGCGAATTCTCAACCCTAATCCGGGACTTAGAGCATTAGAACCGCTGAAGGTCTGCGCTTTTAACAAGCTCCCCATTTGATTCATTTGCAAATCAGAGCTGGGAAAGGAGTGCTCTAATGCACTTTCATCAAGCATTTCTAGACATGCAAAATACATGCAAAAAGCATCCAAATCCTTATAAAAGCAATAAAAATAAATGTCTCTTGGTGCCTGTTTGTGGGATGAAATAAGGTCAGAGTAAAAACCGCCTTTCAAATAAGGAAAGGAGGGAAACACATAACTTTCTTAACAGTGGTATGGAACAATCACTGCTGGGGTTCCTGCTCTCAGGAGAAAGCGTGTAAACATTTCATGCAGACAACAGACTGTATGCATAAATCTGAAAATTATGCAATTACCTAAAAAAATGACATTCAATTTAAACACCTCAGTGATATATTTAAAAGTTTCCTGATTTCATTTCCAAAAGTAACTAGGCAAGAATAAAATGATGTTAACACTTACCTTCCTGTGTTCCCTTGGGCCTGCTCATACTTGTCACAGACCTTACTAACTTTAGATTACTTAAAAGGAGTACAACGGGGAAAAATGTTGACATTAACGGTTAAAATGAGAAATCTGAAGAAGAACTGTAAAAGCTCACACGTGTGGGGGAGAGACTATTCCATGATGGCCACTGTCTGTCCCATGAGATGGACCCAGGCCAGAACGGAGACTGCTTACCACAATCCCTCATCTTAGAGACGACTGGATCATAGTCAATGTTCATTCTGCCAACAACTCAGTCCCCTCCACCCTCCTGTAAAGTGCTGGTCCCTGGAACAGGCCAATGCCCTGACCTGGTCAAGCAGGTAAATACCTGTTCCTGGTAGCACTCAGTACTAGTGCCCATGACTATCCCCCCTTTTCCCTATATAATTCTTTGGTAGCATTCAGATACTAAATCCCCACCCCCCACCCCCTGCACCGGAATCATATATAATTCTTTGATGCCTGCCAAGCGGCAGGGAGGAAATCCACTTCATCTTGCAGCTGCCCAGGACACACCTCCAAGGGAAGTTTCCCCTAATAAACTTAATTACCAGCCTGGAGTGGCCTGCCTCTTTCTCCAGTTTTTCCCTGCCCTCTGCTTATGAAGGTAGATTCTCAGTCCTGGGGCTTTTTCCCTGGGTCTGTGTGCACTAACAATATGCAACATAGAGGTCATTACTGATAAAAAGTAGTTTGTTTATTCTGTTGTAAATTAAATACAATAATAAAATTAGGTGCTTCTATAGATGAGGCTCAATAACTATGTCTAAGTTTTAAAAAATTTGGTTAGAGAAACTGGTTGGTGGGGTTAGTAATTAAACAGCAAGAAAGGAAAATGTATGCTTAGGCTACTAGTTTATGAACAGTTTGGTTTTTTTTCCACAGCAGAAAATACTGACCACCTATAAAGCCAATGTAGAACCCATCTCCACCAGTTTGTAAAAGGAGCCAGCAGTGACAGTGGGGACAGAATGCCCACTGGGTGGGGGGCCTGCTTCTTTTTCTTGGCTGCTGGGTACCATAGGTGGGCTAGTAACATGAGCTGCAGGTTTGGTTCTCATGGGTCACCCTGGGAAACATTCAAGCTTTCATTTCAAGACATTGTTATCTAATGACTATACCCAAGAGGACCTAATTCAGATCTGGCCAGAGAAAAACAGCAACTCCTGAACTTCAAGTGGGACTTGCCAGTTATCACATTCTTCTCCTGATAAAACTACATAAACACAGACCAAAGGATAGTCCAGGATCATTTTTATATGCTGTCGGTACAGACTGAAATTGGTTAAAACCCTAGTATAATAGCATTCATTTATTAAAGGCAGTGCCAGTTGTCACGGCAAACCTAATCCTTAAAAATACAATGAAAAGAACAGTAAATGTGAATATCTAAAAATAGCCATTTCCTTGGAAAATAGGAGAATGGCTGGGACAAACAACTAAAATAGAAAGTAAAAGGGCTAATTATTTCAGTAATTTTAAAGTCAGCTTTATGGTATCTGAAACTGTCTGAATATAACTTAACATTTTGATAATCACTGTTATTAGAGCTAATCCTTATAATTAAAAAACAGACCTAATTACTTTATGTAATTACATTTTTCACCCCCCCCCCCTAATAATAACCAGTTCATCACCAATTCCACCAATGAGAACGGGGCCTGACTGGGCTGGATATACAGCATTTGCCTCTTCTCTCTACACATAATGTGGCTTCCTCCCTAAAACTAGCAAAGATTAGTGTAATCCCATGTTGCCCTCTGCCTGACCCCCCCGTCTTACATCTCAAGGAACTGCCACAGAGCGTGGACACACAGCAGTGGAGCCACGTGGGCGGATACCTTTATAAAAGAGAACCACGATCTTCTGAAATGCCTTCATGAAGTGGATGTTGTCGTAGCAGTACTCCTGGACCTTCTGCAGGAGGATCAGCTCTGACTGGCCTTGGGAGCTGAACACGGCCAGCAGGGGAGCGTATTGCTGCAGGAGGAGTGGGAGTGAAGACATTAACTTTCCTGGGAGGGACAGGCTGGACAACACTTGAATCACAACAGTAACCTGGAGAGTTGCTTAGAAAACATTCACTTTTTGGATTATCTTCTTATTACAACATTGTGTCGGATCAAAATGAATTTTTTATCCTGGCATCTTATCAGCTTTCTCTCAGTGTTCCTACCAACGGGAGGCAATGTGAACTTCTGATGATAAATGCTGCACTACTATGTCTGTCTATTAGATATGGTGAAAATGAGACAAGGAGTGAAGCTCTCCTTTCCGACATTCAGACCCCCTCCCAGGCCATCTTTATGGTTTTGTTCATATTGCTCCCTCTGCCTCAGCTTCCATGGCTTGAGTCACTGAGGGACAGCCATTGTATCCTCTACTACCCCCCTCAGTTCAGTGGTCATCTCCTCCCAGGAGCCTTCCCCAGGCAATGGAACCTGCAGTTTCCCCTTGCGCTGCTCTCAGTCTCAGAGAGCTATCTCTAATTTCTATCCCAACCTACTTTATACTCAGAGGTCTTTCACTGCCCAATTCAAGTATCAACTCTGAAGGCAGACCTAAGTCCCCCACTTTTCTTAATAGTTTTATAGCGAGAAGACAATTCACGGAAGTAAAAACATACGTATCCACGCACAAAAGATAATTTACAGAGTCAGCTGATTTCTTCCACCAGATGCTTTTCAAATTCTAACGTTAATTTGTAGTTGACTTAAACAAAAAGATTCACTAAGAATTTCCCTTGTGTAGAACAGAAAGAAAACCAATAGACAGTATTCCTCTTTAACTTTAAATACTGAATGTATGACTATTCTGTGGCTTTTCGAACATGGTTTCTAGTAAAAACTTACCCTTAGGTATTTCATAGGCTCAGACCCGAAACATTTTAGGTAGCGGAGAATTTGAAAAGAAAAAAATTAGGAGCTGTATGTTTGGCCTGCGTCTGGGTGAATGAGGCTGGAATGACGGCCAGCCCGTCACACGCGGCCGTTGGCCCACAGCAGAGACTGTCCCTTATGAAGACCTTGTACCTTCAGGTGCTTGAGGGCCTGCTCTGCCACAAGTTCTTCCTTCTTGTTCCACTCCACAGCATTCATGATGCAGGTCCACAGCAGGCCTATCACTGCTGTTTCCGGGAGGTCATTCCTCTTCATTTCTTCTTTCACATAGAGCACCACCTAAATTTCACGGAAAGAGAGTCGTCAGAATAACAGGCAGATGGGGAGTTCCCTCTCACCGTCCTGGGGAGTGAAAGGTTTGGGCAGATAAACCGTCCCTCCCTTCCTGGTACTTATTGTCAGATTACAACAGGGACAGAAAACACGATGTTTTGTTTTCAAAGCAGATTTATTTTTAGTCCAAAAAGTAATAGGCCTCACTCTGGCCAGGAGCTGCTGGACAACAGAGAACAAGAGAGCATCCCTGCTTCTAGGAGCGACTCTTTTCCATGCAGGGATCTCCAGGGGCCCAACAGAGGAGGGCTCACCTGAGCCAGTCTGACTTCCTTGAGGTTTGAAAAAGGCAACCAAGCTGTTAATTTTTACCTCTAACCCTCACCTTTAAAGCTCTTGACGGATTTAAATAAGGTCATTGTCCACAATTCATTCTTTAGTTATTACTTTTGATGATCTCACGCCCCATCTCAGTGAAATGTTAATTTGTAAATAAGTTGTACAGCGCAAAGGCATTTTTATACGCTATGTATCAACCCAGCACCACTCAGCAGATTATTTCCCCCTAAGAATTAAGTTTAAATGTGTACATTTATCCTCAAGTCCCACAGTATGAAATATGGGTCCGCCTAACTTCATTGCATAAAGGTGCCCTGAGGAAGGTGAAGCTTGTGCCACGCGGTCTGCGTTACTCCTCGGCCCGGTGTGTCAGGAGTGAGGTCGGCTGGGTTTCTCACCTC